ATAGTTTTCCATTTTATTTTAAAATCAGTTTATGGTTAACTTATAAAAATAATTTACATAATTTGAAGCAAATGTCAGAGTTGTAAATCTACTTATTTTGCATATTTGATTTTAACAGTGTATAAAAAATTTCTGATATAAATTTTGTGTATTAACAACAATAGTAAGAGATTGTTTTTCACAATTAATCTTATATATGTAGGAATTAAATAATTTGTAAACCTACCTTTAAGGTTTCCAGTTTTTATTAATTAATAATTACAAAACTAACAAAATGCTTTTCTTCCTGGATGACAGCTTATGTGTGCATCTACAACCGAAGATTCTTTCGGCAGTTTTTTTCATTTTGATGACACTGAACACTTGAGAAAATGGCATGGTATCCACAGAATCAGTTGTAAAGCAAGGGTAAATCAGTGGAACTTACAGTATTTGTTGTTTTTTGTAAACATGATTAATATTATTATAGTAATATTTTTGTCTGTTGAATCAAAACAAAAAGATACATAATTCTTAAAGTTTTCAGTATCCATTAATGAATATTTTGGTGCTTGTTCACAAATTAAATTGACTTTCAAACAGCATGTTTAGTTTTAGATTACTTAATATCTTACCAAACATGGGATCTTATCCAGAATTTGTGTAATGAGGTCATCTCTTTGGGAAAAAACTTTTTCTTTTTAAATTAGCAAACTGAATTAGTGGCATGAATATGTGCATCTGAGGAAAGTTATAGGCTGCTTAATAAAGTTAAACTTTAAAGTAAAAACCTGTTTAGGAAAAGTTTAATCAGACAACAAATAATTTGGAAACTTGTTGAATACTAGGAAATTAAGCAAACTTTGGTCTTGGAATTGTCAAGGTCTAGATAAAATCCCAGAAAAAGTTGGTCATATGTAAAGATGAAAGCATACAATTAAGTAAACTATTGTTGTGAGTGGTAAGTTGCATCTTTAAGTTTCAAGGATTATTTTGTTATTTTCTTAATGTACATACATGTATTAATATATTAAAATTAAGTAAACTATAAATCAAGCAAATTTCTGAAGAACATGTAAAATGTAGAACTTCTGAAAATGGTCAAGTTTTCATGTTTCTTGAATTGTGAGTTAACTTTTTTATTTTTGTATATCAGCTTTAGTATGTTAAAACTGCATTCGATTCTAGCCATTTTAAGTTCTTAGTAGGTACAGATACATTCTACCTATGTGATGTTATTGCACATAAATATTGTACATGTATTGTACATGTATGTGTACGTGGAAGAGAAAGACCCTAGCTTAATCTGGAAATTTTTTATGTGAATTATTATAGTTATGTTGTATTTTGTAATAACTAGAAAAGTATTTTCAAGCTGTAAAAAAATCTGTAGGTGTATCCCTATGTGTTCTTTAGATTATAGTGAATGTCTTTGACAGTGCTCCAGAAACAAGTTTTTGTTTTATGAAAAAAAATTTATAAATAAAAATTATGCATACTATTGACTGGAATATGTGTATTCTCCAGTTGAAAAAAAAATAAGGAAGCTATATCAGTAATAAAATGAACACAAAGCATGGGAGATCAGTCTCACCAAGAACCCATTCATGAGTTATACAAGGATTTGATATCCTTTATATTCATCCTTCAAATTGTTTGCATTCCACCAGTATAGAAAGCCTACTATATCTCTTTGATTTGCTTTTTCAAGCATTATACTGAGGAGCTGTAATTTGTTTAAAACTTTAGTCTACTGTAGAGAGAATAGTAAATTGATTAATATTTCAGGCCTCTATATCTTTTCACTTATTCTTTATTTTCTTCACTGGAATTACAAGCTTAGTGAGGAAAAAAAAAATCACAAATGATATAGCATATTTTTCGGTGTGTAAGACACTTTTTTACCCCAAAATTTGATGTCAAAATCTGCTTGCGTCCTATACACCGAAGGTATGAATAATGTATATGTATATATACGATATACACAAGCCAGATGTAAATATATTTAAATAGGTGTGCATAGTTTA